TAACCGTTTATCCATATATCCGTAATCCGTTATCCAAGTATCCGATCTGAATTTATCCGGATATCCGTTAACTATTGATATCCGAATAATTTATCCGGGTTATCTGGATATCAATAGCAAACGGATATCCGGATAAATTCAGATGTGGATATATGGATGACGGTTTTATCCGGATTGAAACTCTATTATGAATCAAAGATATTGACCAAGTGAACTTAGAATTGGTCTTATTTGTTCATATAATAAAACAGATTAAAATTAGTTTTCACGTGTGAAAAATATAATCAATTTCAAACTTTAGCAGAAAAAACTCCCAGCGCACATTTTGTTTAATAACTAGTCGATTAGTCAACTAGTCAACTAGTCGAGACTGATTATGATTCTATATATCCTTATATATAGATTTTTTTATAAATTTTATGTATAAAATTAATCAATTAATTGTTGAATGTGTATTAGATTTTGAACCTCCATAAGGATATAAAAATAATTAATAACATTTATTCACCGCTTTAAAAAGAAAAAAGATAAAGAAAAAAGATAAAGAACAATTCATATTTAATTACTAATGTCTCGGTATAATTTCTATCTGTTAAAGAAATAAATAACGTGAGGATTTAATAATTGTTACAGGCCACAGCACCTTTACAATAGAATTGTAAACTAAATACGGTGGTTTTCAAGTATCAGGCTGTCTGTTATAAATGAAAATATGCAAACTCTTTAGATGTTTCCTTTTAATAATACTGTATAAATACTCAACCATGTACTATATCCGGGATCTGTTATAGGATTGAATATTGGCGTGGAATGGTAAATGTAACTTGTGTTATTAAAAATCTCGTAAGCTATTAATAATATATATTTAGATAGTGATAGTTGATAAATATTTAATTTGAAAGTTTTTTTCTCTTTTTTTTAAAAAAAAAATTATTGTACAATAAGTTATTTTATTTATCGTTCTTTTTTTTTTGTAAATAAATAAATAAATAACTAATAATAACATATTCTTGGAATTTTAAAAAATTTCTAAATATGTGGGGCTTGAAAGACTGAGAAAATGGATTATATTTATGCCGAACCATTCAAATTATTTGGATTATTTGTAATTACTTCATAAGCTTCATATTCGTCTACAGAAAAACAATCTTTGGTATTTCTAATTGATTCACTGTAAACGAGCTTTTTGCAAAAATTTTTACAATCATTTTTAAAATCTTTATTCAAACATAAGTCTCTAGCGAAATGTAATCCAGATTTTTTAGATAAATTGAACGATAATATAGATTTTGTCGGTAGACTTAGTTTATAGTTCTTTATATCATTCTGATCAAAAGTAAAAATAAAACTCTTATTTGTTTTTTGATTAATAACATTTATTTTCTTATTTCGATTCCAACTTAAATGATTGTAACCACCCAAAATTTCATTTGTGTCTTTGACTCTCAAAACTATTAAAGTCGGCCCTTTGTCGTCACATTTTTCATGAAATTCTGATGCTTTGAATCCATCATTACTTCCTCTGATAAGTAATTTAAATTGATACTGATGTGAAATAGTTGAATTAT